AGAGTTGAAATCACAGCAGGACCAGGTCTGGGATTGAGCCTCACTAAACACCAGGGTGTATTTCTGGGTCTTCATTTGATCCAAAGAACAAGCAGCATTTTTTTCACCTTGCCGGTAAATTCAACACAGTTCTGCCTTTGGGGGGGGTGACAGTCCCAAGGTTTCCCACCCTCCCTCTCCATCCCTAGTCCCTGTTTCCTTTGGAGAACCACATGCTGACCACTAATCTGGGTGGAACACACTGGGAGGCAGCCGACCACACATCACACCAACAGCTTCTGCCCTGTATGAATGACAAGCTCAGTATAAAGTTACTCAGTTCAATTGCTGACAGGGCAATTACACTGATTTACCCTGGGAGATGGAGCAAGAACACCAGAGGAAACAAGCAGGATGCAATATACCTGAAGATCTATTTTGACTTAAATACAACTCAACAATCAATGTAACAGCAAACCTTGCAGGATTACAGGTTGTTTTGATATAGGCCTGGCTCTGTGACCTTTAAGAGTTTCCCTTCCAGAAAGCTATTTCCTTACAAGGGACCAAGACTGCTTATGTTCACATGCTTTTAGATTTTTGGGAGAATTTGATTTTTGATAGAGCTGTTTTATAAGAATTAGGATAGCTGGCAAACTATAATAGTCTAATCTCAAGTTTAGAGTGAACACATTCTTGCTTCCCAGCTATAGAGAAAGCCAGGGAGCCCAAAGAAGAGCACCTTTAATCTCTCAGAGCAGTCCAGTCTTTATTTACCAGCACCAACAAGTCCATCAAATCCTTGTCAAATGTGGAAGGTTATCAGGTGTATGCCTCATCAGGTGGAGAAACAGAACTAGAAAGCCTCAAACTAGAAACCCCCCCTTACTCAAAAGCCTATAACTAGAAAAACAACCCCTTCCCTTCACCTGAAAGCCTCGAACTAGAAAAACCCCCCTTTACCTGAAAGCCTTTCTCTTCTCCCTCCACACCAGCACCAAGAAACTAGCTAAAGCTATGACAACTGAAAAGAATTTTTTTGGAGAGAAAAATTCCAAATTCTCCAAAAAGCTCTAAGAAAAGCTTATACTGCATGACACTCTCCCCAGGTCACACAAACACAGCGATGGCATTCTGGACATCACTCCAAGCAAGCACTCCAACCACTGTTGCAAGCTAACAGCAAGAGAATCAAAGTTATCGATGCCAATCACATACAGAATCCCATCAGAAAGGGAAACAGAACTTGTTTTTGCAGAGCAAACAGAGTCCTGACTTTGCTCCTGCAATGCTCTTTTAAATGTAAAGAAGTTTCTGCTTCCTTGTATCTGACTCCATGACAGCAAAGTTGCAATGCCCCAGGATGAAAAAACATACTGGAGAATCAGGGCTCACTGGCTTTGCAACATATTAGGTAGGTCAATTAATGAAATACAATTAATTTAACGTTGTACTTCACTCACTCTGAATCTGTTAACAGTCAAAAAACACTGTTTTATAAAGTTCAGACCTAAAAAGACTTCATTTTTAATCTTCCAGTATTCCAACACTGGCATCAGGCTTCTCATGGATATTTCTGCATGCAACACTGCAGGCTTGGGGAGGAGTGGGGGGAGAGCTGCTGGGCAGAGAGGGACCTGGGGGTGTTGGGCAACAGCAGCTGAACATGAGTCAGCAGAGTGCCCAGGTGGCCAAGAAGGCCAAGGGCATCCTGGCCTGGATCAGCACCAGTGTGGCCAGTAGGACCAGGGAAGTTCTCTTCCCCCTGCACTGGGCACTGGTGAGGCCGCAGCTGGAGTGCTGGGTTCAGTGTTGGGCCCCTGAGTCCAAGAAGGACATGGAGGGGCTGGAGCGTGTCCAGAGAAGGGAACGGAGCTGGGGAAGGGTCTGGAGCACAAGTGTGCTGAGTTCCCTTGTGGCTGAGGGAACTGGGGGTGTTGAGCCTGGAGAAAAGGAGGCTGAGGGGAGACCTTGTGGCTCTGTGCAAGTCCCTTGGAGGAGGGTGGAGAGAGGTGGGGGTGGGGCTGTTCAACCAAGGACCAAGGGACAGGACAAGAGGAAATGGGCTCCAGTTGTGGCCAGGGCAGTTGAGATGGGATGTGAGGAAGAATTTCTTTGCTGCAAGGGTTCTGAGGCATTGGAAGGGGTTGCCCAGGGCAGTGGTGGAGTCCCCATCCCTGGAGGGATTTCAAAGCCAGGTAGATGAGGTGCTCAGAGATCAGGGTTAGTAGTGGACAGGTGTGGTTGGACTCAATCTCAAAGGTCTTTTCCAACCAAACAATTCTATGATTCTAAGTATTCATAGTTATGAATATGCCATGGATGCAATAATCCATCATTAGGACAAAATATTGTACCACCTAGCACAGGGAGAATCTCTCACATGACGTGATTTTATTTGCTTACATTAGCAGAGATTTCAGATTCACACACATTTTCACTCACAGATTTAACAGACAAAACATTTTGGTTTGCTAACCTGATCTCCGGTAGGAAGGTTTTCTTGTAAGCATCCTCAATGTGCTGGAGATACAAAGGAGACACCTTTTTCTCATATGGCTAAAAAAAAACAAACAGAAAACAACATTGTGAAGTGAGTTTGCTTTCTTCCCCCACCAGCACAGATTCCTGCCTAAGCAGAAGGCGCTGCTACATCATCTGCCAGGAGCTCACTCTTGTATTGGCAAACTTCTGTGCACCACCCAGACAGTAATGAAAGTTTCAAGAATTAAGACATTTGGAGTACTTAGAATTTCTCATCTGGCATTAAATATTTAGAGTAGTCTAAGGAGCAAGTCAGTCTGTATAACTCACTCCTTTGCTCCCTACTTTTATGCCCACGTTTAACATGGTACTGTGTCCAGTGTTGGGCCCCTGAGTCCAAGAAGGACATGGAGGTGCTGGAGCGTGTCCAGAGAAGGGCAACGGAGCTGGGGAAGGGTCTGGAGCACAAGTGTGCTGAGTTCCCTTGTGGCTGAGGGAACTGGGG